CTTAGCTTGAGCGAACCAGTATAAAAACCTTTGCACTACTTTTCTATGTTTCAGATGCAGTTTTGTTTAGTTGATTTATCATACTAAAAACTTCGTCCAATGCTCATTGTTCAATACAACTATCTTCAAACAAAAAACACAGTTGTTTAATTTGTTGTCTTAAAAAACAGTTTTCGTTTAAGAAGTATTTTTCCCTATGCAGACGAAAAAATCTAAGACGCAAAACCTTTTGTTAAACTAACTCTGCACAATTTTTCTAAGAAATCAAAATAATATTTTTACTGGACGAAAAAGAACTTCTTTGTAAAACATTTTCAAAATTCCTTTCACTACTAGAAAAGTGTCATTTTCTTGCGAATTTTCCTACAAAAAAATATTCGCAGAAATTTTTTGCGAATTTTCGTACAAAAAAATATTTGCAGAAACTTTTTGCAAATTTATTTGCGAAAAATAATTTACAGATATTTCTTACAAATTTTACTACAATTTTAATGATCATAGAAATTTTTTTCCATAATAGCAGAAAATATTGTAAGAATTTTATTTTGTTTCTTGCAGATTTTCTTGCAAAAATAAATTCGCAAGTAATGTTTACTAAACGGTAGAAAAAATTTGCAGGTAACTTTTCCTGCAGATTTTCCTGCAAATATTTTAAATTTATAAGTTTAATATTTTAAAAAAAATGTTTCAATTCCCACATCGATTGAAAATAAAACAACTAAAGAGTATATATGTTGGGGTAACACTTACCTTACAAGTTGATTTGTATGGTTGAGTATTAGGCTTATAATCAACAATCTTATAATTTAAAAGATTATGTATCACATGTTGGAGGCTTGGAAACAAATGCTTCGGATGAATTCATTATGAGCATTTGAAAGTTGAAGAATTATTGATAGACTTTATAGTAATTTCTTTAATTTTTTTCGTAAAAAATATTCCTGCAAAATTTCTTGCAAAAAAATTTGCAGGAAACTTTCCTGTGAATTTTTTTTGCAAGAAACTTTCCTGCAAATTTTTTTTTTGCAAGAAACTTTCCTGCAAATTTTTTTCGCAAGAAATTTCGCAGAAAAATTTCCTGTGAATTTTAAAATTCGCAAAAATATATTATCCACGAAGGTATTACCTGCAGATAGAATTTCGCAGAAAATTTTGTAAGAACAACGTTTCCTGCGAATTTTTCATAAATATTCGCAGGAAAAGTCACATGTAATAATAAGAGAAATTCTAGTAGTGTTTGTTCACACACACATATGTGTTTTTTCCGCTTACTTCATTATAATGATATATTTAAAATAATTTTGTCGAATAATATTTTTTAATTAAAAGTCTTATAATTATTAAACTTATAAATTTAAACTTTTTATTTTCTTGTAGATTAATATTGGCAGGAAAATCCGTAGAAAAAGTTACCTACGAAATTTTTCTACCATTTAGTAAACATTACTTGCGAATTTGTTTTTACAAGAAAATTTGCAAGAAACAAAATGAAATTCTTACAACATTTTTTGCAAATTTTTACCATGGAAAAAAAATTCTATGATCATTAAAATTGTAGCAAAATTTACAAAAACTTCTTGTAGATTATTTTTCATAAAAATATTTGTAAATTATTTTTTGCAAATAAATTTGTAACAAAATTTTGTTAAATTATTATTGCAAGAAAATTCGCAAAAAACACACTACTAGAACTTCTTTTATTACATACGACTTTTCCTGCAAAAATTCGCAGGAAACGTTGTTCCTGCAAAATTTTATCTGCAGGTAATACCTTCGTAGATAATATTTTTTTGCGAATTTTAAAATTCGCAGGAAATTTTCTTGCGAAAAAAATTCGCAGGAAAGTTTCCTGCAAAAAAAAATTTGCAGGAAAATTCGCAGGAAAGTTTCCTGTGAATTTTTTTCCAAGAAATTTTGCAGGAATATATTTTTACGAAAAAATTAAAGAAATTACTATAAATTCTATCAATAATTTTTCAACTTTGAAATGCTCACAATGAATTCATCCGAAATATTTGTTTCCATGCCTCCAACATGTGATGCATAATCTTTTAAATTCTAAGATTGTAGATTATAAGCCTAACACTCAACCATATAAATCAACTTGTAAGGTAAGTGTTGCCCCAACTTATATACTCTTTAATTATTTTATTTTCAATCGATGTGGGACTTGAAGTTTTTTTAAAATATTAAACTTATAAATTTAAATATATTTTTTTTTTATTTTTCTTGCGGATTAAAATTTGCAGGAAAATCTGCAGGAAAAGTTACCTGCAAAATTTTTCTACTATTTAGTAAACATTACTTGCGAATTTATTTTTGCAAGAAAATCTACAAGAAACAAATTAAAATTCTTACAATATTTTCTGCAAATTTTTACCATGGAAAAAAATTTCTATGATTATTAAAATTGTAGCAAAATTTGTAAGAATTATCTGTAAATTATTTTTTGCAAATAAATTTGTAAAAAATTTCTGCGAATATTTTTTTGTAAGAGAATTTGCAAGAAAATGACACTTTTTTAGTAGTGGCAGTGACACGGTTAATTCCAACGTAGCAAAAAAGGAAGACTCTTTGATAATCAAAACCATGGATCTAAATTGTAGTTGCGGTCACGGTTGTAGTTGCAACTACAACTACTGTAGCTGCGTATATTGTGTCTATTGCGAAAGTAGATTGCGGTCGTTGCAGTGTGAAATTATTTATTATATATTTGCATAAATATAAATAAATAATTAGATTTCTTTTTTTTATTTTTTTACTCAAAATCTCTTTCTCCCTTTTTTAAAATCTCTTGAAAAAAAAAATATTATAAATCTATTAAAATTGTATTATTATTGTTATATTGCAGTTAAATTATAAAATTTTAAGTAATTTAAAATCATGCTACAATTACGGGCTGCAATTGGGTCGACCACCGCAACAACAATAAAACCCTAAATAAAACATTTGTCTTCATGATGTTGTTGCTCACTTTCTCATGCATTATGCTTTGAATATATTATTATAAATTCAATTCAGAAACTAACATTCCCGTGATAAACTACTGCACTTCTGAAGTATATTGCATACCAGAGTGGCTGACAGCAATTCAAACTACAATCGATAACGATTAATATTATATTAAAATAATACTTATCAATCTCGTTTTTTGTTTTAAAGTTATTTTATACAAATAAAGTAATTGACAAATAAATAAATAAATAAAAATATAATTTTATAAAAATCAATTTTCTTCATTAAAAACAATATAATAATAAATACATCTTTTAAATGATATTTTTAGAAACACAAATAAATTAAATAATTAATATTATATTAAAAATCTAACCTAATCTTTTTTTTAAAATTTATTATTTTTTCTAACGTAATATTTATTGTACACAGAACGAGTACTAATATATTCTACACAACTTGTTTAATGTGTTTGCTATATTTATATCTATATATAAAGATAATTATTCATAATTTTTTTCAAAAAATTATTTTAAAACTTTTAAATAATAAAAAATAATATTAAACATTAATTATCCAAGACTCAAATACAAGATTTTGAAATTCAAAAATCAGATACAACATTAATTAATTTAACAAATATTAATAATTTTTAAATATTTTTAAATAAATATAGAAATAGAAAATGTCTCGATCTCATTTTCATTTTCTATTGAGTCTAAGGTGGAACAATTAAAGATGACTACATCGTAGTTACGTGTTAGTTAGATATTAAAATGGGTGGTTGGCATTTCCATTTCTAAAGATGATTGGTGGGTGTGTCTTAATCCTTTTCCGCAACGCAAATTTTCGATACGAAAGAGATACATGCAAAAGATATTGAATGGTTAAATAATATAAAATTTAAAATTTTGAATTTTAGATCCTTCGGTCTATACTACTTCAATTTCTTATTACTATGAGTCAAATTAACCCATTCGTTTTACAAATGAGTGTTTATAAATAAAACCATAATACTTTTTTTTTAATGATTAAACACTAAATTCATGTCATGTATTACTCGTGATAGGAATATATAATTTTGGAGTAGTATAAGACTATTTGTAACTCTTTTCTTATTTTTCAACATTTTTGTATTTGGGTTTGGCACCCCTAGTGTCTCCTTAATACATTTCTTTTAGCTAATCAAAAAACAAAATTAGAAGTCAAATTTTTTAATCATCGTTCACGTTATAGTTCTGAAAACAAATTGTTTTTCAGTCTATCAACATTCAGATTTAAATTATATTTAAATATTTTTTTAAGTATACATGGATTTTAATTTGATTTTTATAAAATAAAAAATTTTATTTTTATTCTTCTAGTTTTTTAATAATTATTTTTTACTATTATAAAATGAATAAATTTTGGTTTTAATATTGTTGAAGTTCAAGTATAAAGTGAATCTCAAGTTAAAGTTAAATATGTTGAGTAGTATATAAATGAAAAAGATCCACCTACCGAATGTTTTAAGATTTTGAGTTATGATATGATGTCAAATTCATTTGTGTGGTTTACTTACTACCAATGCGTAGATGCTTCCCAATGATTAACTCTCATACCTAGGAAATACTTGTAAAATATATTTCTTTAACGTTTTATTCACTTAAAAAAAATGACATATAGTGATATACATCCTATAGTGACATAAATATTTGTCACTAAAAGTTACTTTTACTTGCACTATACCTATGTGTGTCCCTTGTGTAACACCTCAAGTTTTCTAAATAAACTAGTAAGAATTTTATATAATTAAAAGTTTTTATATGACTATCGATAAATAAAAAGAAATTAATGTTTCATAAATTATTTTAGTTATGTGCATTGGAAAATTTTGTTTTAAATTATATTATTTTAATTATACACCATATTTAATTATTTTAAGGAAGGGGAAACGTAACCATGGTCAAAGTAATTAACTAAAGATTTAAACATGAGAGTTTTTACAAGGTATTAACGTCAGTTTCCTTTTTATGCATCTCATTTTTTCTTTTTATGCTTATATACTCTAAAAAACTTGGAGAACAAAAGACATCATGGAAAGCATCTCAAAGATTCGCACCCATCAACTAGGATTTACTAAGGTAAAGGGGAGTGAGTAATCTTACTCTTGGGTGTGGGATATTTGTAGGATAGTGAGATTAGTCACCAATCTCATTCTTATTGTGTATATTGTATGAGGGAGAAATCTTAATTCTTGATTGTAACTTGTGATTTTATATTTTATGTCTTTCTTATCTGCTTTAATTATAGCAATTAGTGAGTGGTAATGTTTATTTTTGTATTTTTGTATAATTACCTGTAATCATGAATCTGTGGGTGTTTGTGGGTTCGTACGGTAACCTTAAGGATAGAATAAACTAAATTAGTAAAGGAGGATGCAAGAAAGGGTGTAAATTGATGGCTTATTAACATTTAATCATGCTTTTGGTATGTTTTTACCGATTGAAATTCGTGTAATTGAATGTGGGATGTCTTGTGCAATTTTATGCACTTGCTACAAAAATGTCGTTCCTAACACAACTACGAGTGCCATCAATGGTCACCAGGCACAAGAGTGATAGAGAGAAAAGGATATTCTCTATGACCTTAACATCAAGCATGAAGGGTTCATGTCGAGCGTGGGACCTCTAGCCTTATTGTAAGTTTGTTGGGCATAGAAGGATTACACCGGTCAAGATCATTAATCTAAAGAGCAATGTATGCTCTCTACATGGACTACACCAGGCACAAGGTGCCCCATGTCGAGTATCACTTTATTTCCTGTGTAATTATTATTTTGTAAGTATGCTATGATATTTTGGTGGGAAACATGATGTTGAGTGAATATATTCGTTAAGTAAGAATGTTGTATTGAGTTATCATTGGTTGTATGTATATAGTTGTGAGAGTGATTTCTTAGTGATATTATTAGACATGAGATGTATTATGCGTGAATCATGTGATGGTCATGAGATGTGAAGTCCAACCTGTGGTTTAGTCTCGATGAGGTTTGGGAAAGATTGTCTAGCTAGGATGCAATTGCTATTTGATTTAGATTAAGTATGTAATATGAATATGCTTCATATGAATATGCATCAAGTCTTGTGTTACATGCATCATGTGCATCAATTGTTTTGTGAGGGATATGATATGGAATACGTTGTTAGAAAAGGCCTTCCTTATGTAAAAGCATGGGGATAACTAAGTTTAGGAGCCCCAATTCCACCTATTATGTACAATGGATGTAACTTGCACAACACCACTATCCCAATGTGCTTTGGTGTATATCCTCTTAGTGTTGAGTGTTATGATGGCTTGACTTGGTATGTTCTCCTAGGCTACTCCAGTTGTGCCTTAGGAAAATAATTGAAATTGTTTAGTGACTCCACATGCATTAAGTCTAGGAAGTTCGTGTCCATTGCATTATTGTGAATATAACGATGTGGGTTGAATAGATGCAAGTTATAAATATTGTATATGGTGTTTCATGAAATATTTGAATATACAATTGTTTACTTAGTGATCTATATATGATATGTGACGTGAATATGTAATGTTTTGTTGTGTGCAGCTACCCAACAACATCTTATACCGGTAATCAATGTGAAATGTTTTTCACTCTCTTTTCTTCTTTGTTGATTTCTTTTGATGTATTTATGTAGGTGAGATTCATCCTAAGAGTGATGAGGTTGGAGATGAGAGTTAGGCCTTGCATTGGTGTTGTGTTCTAATAGGATGTGACGTTAGAGTTGTTGCTAGGATTTCATGTTTTCCATTTTGTTGTTTCTTTATGCTAGAACTATTTGTTAGATTTTATTTTGTAATCATTGAGCATTGTTTTAGGTTTTTTTGTATTTGTTTGATTATGTGGCATGAGGAGTTTTGAGAACTTTGTTTTATTCAAAAATATTAATCCAAAAATTTGTCTTATCTTTGATTAATTATGAGTTTATAATAGTATGTAAGGTAGTGAGTGTCACAACTTAAATTCAAATGATCACTTAACCTTCTTGGTGAATATATATATAGTTAATAAGAATCACATAATAGTATGAACTAAAAATTTAATTTTAAATTTAAAGGAATAAAAAAAATAAAAATTAGAGAGATCAAAATTATTTTTTTCTCCTTTTATAAGGAATAGAAACATGTTTTAACCTCTTAGAATCATCATTTTTGTAGTTAACTAAAAAAATTGAAGCGATTTAGACAATCAAAACTAGTGAAAAGTGGTCAAAAACCAATGTAGAAAACTGATTTGAATTGGTGCTATTAAAAAAAATTTAATTTTTAAAATATAATTAAATATATATTTTTAGATAAATAAAAACAAACATTTAATAAGAATTACATATTTAAAATATATTTTATTTATTATGTTTAATAATTTTCTTATAAAATACAATTCAGTAATTTATATTAATTTACAATTTTTATATCTTAATTTTTTATAATTCTATTTATATTAAGTTGACATTTTTTTTAAATTCTACTTGAAAACTTATTGATATCCCATGTTTGGTGTGAAAAAACCCTTGAGTCAACATTAATCACAATATTGCGAGCGAGATTAGCTTATGACCTTGTGGGCTGAAAGGTATAGATATATATGGTTGGACAAAAAAAATATCTTATTGTTAATACATTATTAGATTATATATAAGGTGTGAGAAAACATAAAAACAAATCTTATAACGATCTGGTAGGTCAATATAATTAATAAAGTATAATTACAGTACAACGAAAAATGTAAACATCTACTAGCTTAGAATTATCATCAAACACTACATGAGTATTAATTCATGCAACAGTTATATATATATATATATATATATATATATATATATATAAGGTGCAGAAAACATAATCTATTAAACTTGACTTGAAAACATAAATTTCCATATAGGGTTACAAAAAGTCCATGTACATATATACGTATACATTTAATATAAAAGTACTTAAAACATAAATCCTAGAGTCGATCAAGTGTCTTTATATACATGATGTAACTCTACAAAACAAAGGTGTCATATCTAGCATGGTCATCCACAAGCATATCCTTCAACCTTATCCTAACATACTCCCTACCAAGTATAATTATAGCAAGGCAACACATGGAAAAAGTTTGTGAAAGAAAATATCATATTATAGAAGTAATCAACTTCAAATCAATTTTAAAACTTAGAAGCATATCAACTTTAACAAATTTCACATCCTAACAACTTAACAATTGAATAGTTGAACAACTGCGCAACACAAATCAACTAAACAACTAACGTGTAATCACGCATATCAAAGTTGGATATCTCTTTCAACTTAGTGAGCAATCTAATTGGCTTGACCCTACCAAACTACAACAATTGACATGGTGACCAAAATACAAATTATTTTCTTAGGTTTTACCACTTACACTAGCATGCATTAACTAAACTTATATGGAATTAACCCAACAACTATCCTCCAAATATTGCACACCTTTTCAATACTTAGTTAGAGATTTTGACCCCGACTTTATACCTTACTCGTTGGCCACTTATGGAAAATATGGTTCAACCTCCACCATATTGTTTCAACTTTCAACTTAAAAACCTAGAGGATACAACATTGAAAATAACTTCACAATTAGGAGGCAACTTACTCACTAAAGGAAAACATAACAAAATATAGTTCAGTTTTTATTTTAGGAAAACTTCAAATCGATCATAAGAAGTTTATTCATAAAACAAAGCATAAAAATGCATATGCGAATTAATAAATTAACTTAATTAGGGATTAAGAAAACAGCTTAATCATGCAAATTTCTAAAATTCAATTATTTTATTGTTTTGTTAATCAAAAGAGTTTGATCATGCACTTTCAATTAATTAGGATAAAAATTAAAACATTAAAATAATACAAAAATTAACAAAAAGGAATTCATTTAATTCATCATTAGGAATTGCATCACAACCCTAAAATAGGAGAATAAGAGAAAATATAAAATTCAACTAAAATTTGGTTGCTAAAAATGTGGTTTGGACATATCCTTATTTATAGTAAAAATTAGGATGAACTACTAAGCACAGTTGTGCATCTTAACAAACACAATTATGTTTAATAACTAAGGGTGAGCTTCTTTATTAGCGAGGTCATGCTTCTTTAGAAAAAAAGGGAAGCACAGGCATGTTTCATCAGTAGCAAGGGCATGCTTTCCCAACCAAAGATGCTCAAAAAGAGATGAATAACATGTTATCTCTTTAAATATTTTTCATGTTTAACAAGAAAAGTGAAGTTTTGTCAAAGACTTAACAATAAAATCAACAAAAATCTATGAATAACATGTTATCATGCAACATTTTGAGAGTTTAACATACTCCTTATGGAGTTATAATCATCCCTTAATATAAATAAATATATATATAT